AAGGTAAGAATTAAATAAAAAAAACAAAATCAATGTACAATGATACGAAAGACATACCCCAAACAAAGACAAAAAGTTTTAATCAAAATATGGAAAACATTCACAAAAGCCACAAATGGCAAGAAAAGAGCACAAGGCTCCACACAAAAATCTAATCAGGTAAGTGTTATATGGAACGAAAATGGGTCGAAATCTCATACTTGGGTAACTAAATTTTCTTTTCCAAACCATAAATACTCTTTATTTATAAGATTAGGAATATCCTCTCCTAATCCAAAGTATTTACCCCATTTTGGGGTACACAAAGATCAAAGTGGATACTACTTTAGAATTGATCAACTTTGCTTTCGGCATCGCTCGGCATCGTTGTACTACATGAATAGTGCTTATTGTAAGGTTTGTTACGACTCAGTAAAGTTGGGTTACATTAGTTTTCAGCAAACTGCATTTTTAGAGTCTCAAAATAACATAGTTTGATGAACATAAATTCATGAAAAATAATTGATTTTTGTTGTTTATTGAACAGGCTGACAAGTCCACAATCGTGGATGAAGCAGTGAACTACATCAAAACCCTACAGCAAACTCTGCAGAAGCTACAAAAGCAAAGCTAGAAAGGCTTCAAGGAGTAGCAACATGCGGTTATGAGCGGCGCCATTGATATCAACCCGCAAAAGCTAGCTTTAAATCGAGGGGGGCATTTTTAGCTGACCAAAAATCATCATCCACAATAAATTGGCCATTGAACCCACCATAACATTAACTCTACAAATTTGGTTTCAGTATCGCCATGCCCTGTAGTCTTCCAAACATGGACATCATCCAATGTTGTTTTGAACAGTTGTGGAGACGAAACGCATATAAACGTGTGTTCGCCGAAGAAACTTGGACTCTTCACCACCATTTGCAGTGTGTTGGAGAAGCATAAAATAGAGGTAATATCTAATCAGGTTTCCTTCAATTCCAATAGAAGAATGTTCATGAGTCAAGCACGTGTAAGTTCTTATGCCTGTTCGATATTAAATACAGATTTTTGTTTTAAAAATAAAGGATACAACAAATCTCATGAAAATACGTTTAACAGAATCAGTTTAAATATTTTTTAAAATAGTTTTCAAATACAATCCTAAAAACCAGTATAAAAGTAGTCATTTCCACAGTTTTATATAGTTTTAATTGAAAACAATTTAAATATTATATTAAACACATTTTCAAAGATTAAAAAAATAAGATATAAGTAAAAAATTCTAGCTTTTAAAAATGATTATAGATCTAAATCAAAGAAACAATTTACCTAGTTTAACTTGAAGAAATACATGTATTTCAATGCAAAGTGTGGATTTGTTATATTGATGAATTGTGTGTCTGTTGCGGGTGAATTGACAGAGGCAGTTCCAGTGGAAGAAATATATAAACAAGTTGCAGGTGAGCGAAGTTTTGGATCTCTTCTTGTTATAACGATGAAGGCCAAACTCAACCCAAGATGCATATTTGCATTGGTGATGAGTCCTCCAAAGTTTTTCCCTATGAGTAAAGCATATAAATGCATCTGCCATAGCAGTTTCTCAAGTTGCAGGGATGGTTTTAGTAGAAGTTAGGATTATATAATATAAGTCTCCATCTTCATATATATATAGGCTTTCTAGTTTTTGTTTCAAATTGATCACGTACTCCTAGATATAAGTTTTGGAAATGGAATTTTTACAGTTATGTGGATATTTACAAATGAAAGTTTAATTTAGTTTTAGTTGCTGATAGTACTTCATTTAATTTATCATTTTTCTTTTTAATATATATAAGTGAGAATTAAATAAAAAGCAAATCAATGTACAAAGATACGAAAGACATACTCCAAATGAAGTAAAAGTTCAACAAAATATAAAAAACACCCACAAAACCGCAAACAGTACAAAAAGAGCATGCAAACTCTAACAAAAATCTAATCAAGGAAGTGTTATATCGAATGAAGTTGGGCCGAGACCTCATACTTGGGTAACTAGATTTTCTTTTCCAATAAATTACAAATTTACAAATTTGAAGGGTAAAACTCATTATGGGTCATTAATTTTTTTTTTATTTTTTTTTCTGTTAAAAAAAGTTTCTCCTACTGTCGATCTTTGTCCAAATTAATTGCATATAACCAAGTATTATTAAAAACTCATAATAAATTTTGGGTTAGACATGTAAGATAAACCATGTACTAAAGCCCAAATGCTAGCCCATTACGTTGGAACATGGTCCAAACACCATATGACCATCAACTTCATCAGGTTGCTTATATATATATATATATATATATATATATATATAAAAACAACTGTAGCAACTATAGGGATTTGAACTCAGGAGACCATGTTAGATCCTCTTTTTGCTCTTTACCCTTAAGAATACTTAAATTTGGGAAACCATGTTAGATCCCCCTTTACTCTTTTACCATTAGGTCACTGGTAGTGGTTTAAATTGAGCTTTTCATACATGCATGATCCTAACATCATTAATTAACATTAAGCCTATCCAAAATTAAAGACCACCTGCTACCAATCCTTACCTAATTTTTATTTTTGGGTGTTAAAAGAATAAACGCATATAAAAACATAATAAAAAGGATTGTCCTTATCGAAATGGCATCTTATACAGGTCATTGACGCGTTAAATTAAAAGGAAGGTGATAGAAAGAGAGGTTGAAGGAGAATGGTAAAAGGAAGAAAACATGAGTGGGATTGGGTCCCCAATGCCCCAAATCATAGGGTACAAAGACAAACGATGAATTCCCAATTGTTTTTTTGACCCCAACCAAAGTAGGAGTTGAGCATGTGAGCTCCAGCCCCTCCATCCATTACCATTCACACAAACAGACACAGTTGAAAAAAGAAAAAAAAAAAAGGAAGAAGAGGAGCCAAAGGGCCATGTGACTCCATGGTTTTATTCCATCAACATGTGATTATCACACCCATCACTTGTTTTATATCTTTAAGTGAAGCCACACATCAAACACATTACGTCCATTTCCAATTCCATTTCTGCACTGAACTCACTGGGACATACATTACTGCCCTACCTTTTTTCTTGTTTACACTCTATCATCATCATCATTCTTGTGTCGACCTTTTACATGCTAAAGCTTCCATTTCTTGTCAATGAGAAAATTTTTACCTATAATTCACCACTCAGATTTTTACTTCTTATGGAACACTGTCAATGTTTCTCCCTGTCCATGCTTATATTCACAAGGACAACTTTCACAAATTATTTAAAACCTAAGACTCAGTTTGGTTGGATTTATCTACTGCTTAAAAAGAGCTTATTTAAAACCTGAAGCACGTCCAAAATTATTTTGTTTTGTTTTTTTGTATTTTAAAAGGGCTTATAAAATTTAAAATAAGTTATTTTACGATTTATGAGCTTTTCTCATAAAATCTTTTCCAGTTTATTTAATGAGTTGAAATTTCAAAATATTTTTATTGTATTTATAAATTTGACATATTAAAGCTGTTTTTAGTAAATTAATATTAGAAATTTCTTTTACATTATGTTAAATAGACTTACAATTTTTATTTTTTTTAATAAAAGTCATATTTTTATAGCCCCTAAACTAATAAATATTATTTTATAAAGTTTATTCAAATAAACCTTACCAACAAACCCTAAATTTAACCACCATTGGTAGCCTAATCGTAAAAGAGCAAAAGGAGGTTTCATGAACTCTTAAGTTCGAGTTCTCCAAGGCATTAATAGAGGTGGCTATTGACGTTCTTACCCAGTCAACAATTCTAGGGTCTCGAGGAATTATTTGAAGTGCTTACAAGCCGGTCCGAACACACCCATTGATTAAAAAAAAAAAAATCTAAATTTCATGTACTAAAGTCTGTAGAGTAATAGTTTAAAGCGGTGATTAGGAACCCGGCCAGGCGCAGTTGGTTCAATTGTGACCCATCGCCTTTACCGAGTTAGATTGCAAAATTTTCAATTCATTCAAAACCCTAGATATTAGGACATCAATCCATGAGCAATTGAAGGTTGAAATGTTAAGGTTTTTGAAGAGGAATGGCCAATGAGTGGAATGGTGGTAACTGCGTTGATTTTCGATGAGTATATCGACCAGAAATTGTAAAACAAAGCTCGTTGTTGTGGCGATTAGGGAGACGAACGGCGGAGGGGTGAGATGAGTTTTGGTTAGGAGGCTGAGGAGAGAGTTTTCATGGTGATTAGGAGTGTTGTCGTCGGAAAAATGATCTATTTGCCGATGCTGACGGAGTGTTTAGGGTGTTTTTGTAAGATTTCAAACCTATGAAGACTTACATGTAACTTTTAGGGCTTGTTTTGTTAGATTTCAAACCTTTAGGCGGGTCAAACGGTTAAACCACTCGACCCGTGACCCGGTGGCCTAGTCAAGTCATTGCAAGGATCGGGTTTCTAATCACTGGTTTAAATTGTTTAATCAAATTAGGAAGAACAATAAATGAATAAAAAATTTAAAATTAAGTGTAATTGCAGTGAGTATTTTATGTGTTTTAGAAGTTAATTAAAGATCTGAAAATGTAGAATGAAATGGCCTCTCAAATGACTTGTCCCCACTGCATCAGCAGATGGGATTATTGTTTTTATTGGTCAAACATCCTGCACAAATTTCTCATCTTTTATCTTACATTCATTCAGTTTGAACCAGCGTATCTACCTAGTCCCGACTCCCAACAAACACAATTTGCTTCCAACTTAAAATAAATAAAATGTTCTCTCTATCTTGATTCTATGAAACCTGCCTGCAACTGCAACTAGTACGGGTCCAGATACCCAACTTGAAATTTAGGCTGATTTTAAGAATTTTGAAAACAAAAACCCAGTTATATCTCAACCTTGAAGAGCGAGCCCGCCCGTCCAGTCATCCTCTCCCCACAGTCCAACATTCATGATTCCAGGATAAGGTTTGTGGAACAGCTGTTGAAGATGAAGAAACATGAATACATACGCAAAAACAAATAAATAATAATAACAAAAACAGAAAAACTAAGGAGATGTATCTTTTCATTTCTTTTTTCTTAAACTTTCCACAAAAAAATTTCTTACATACAAAAATACATACACAATTACAAACTCCTCCTTCCCTATACCAACCTAAAATCTCAACATTATTTTCATTTTTCTTTTCCACTAACAATTAGAAAAATCATCAGATTTTTTTCTTTTTCCTCTTTTTTTTTACCCATGAATTTCCATTTCCGTACTCAGTCTTCGTCAAAACGGAACAACTTCACTGCAAGCAAAATCATCCGAATTGCCAATGGAATCTTCGGGCCACGAGTCCCTTAACAATTTCAACAACATCTGGGCTTTTCGTTTTGCCCTGTCCGTACAATCGCTCTGTACCAGAAGCAACAATTGAGTCAATACGNTTCTTAAACTTTCCACAAAAAAATTTCTTACATACAAAAATACATACACAATTACAAACTCCTCCTTCCCTATACCAACCTAAAATCTCAACAATATTTTCATTTTTCTTTTCCACTAACAATTAGAAAAATCATCAGATTTTTTTCTTTTTCCTCTATTTTTTCACCCATGAATTTCCATTTCCGTACTCAGTCTTCGTCAAAACGGAACAACTTCACTGCAAGCAAAATCATCCGAATTGCCAATGGAATCTTCGGGCCACGAGTCCCTTAACAATTTCAACAACATCTGGGCTTTTCGTTTTGCCCTGTCCGTACAATCGCTCTGTACCAGAAGCAACAATTGAGTCAATACGCCCGCGTTGACGGCCTCCTTTTGACTCTCCTCCGACGCCGAGCAAAGCGCCAGGAGGGCCCCTGCGGCGTACTCCGTCGCTCGGTCTGAGATCTTCAGGATCGTTTTCACCAGGAGCGGCACGGTGAGCGCGTGCGACGCGAACGCCGCGCACCCGGACGGAATTCTGCAGAGCAACTCCACCGTCGCCAACGCTCTTTCGGCGTCGCATTTGTCGAAATCCGTCAGCCTGTCGGCTAAAGTCTCCGCCGCCCCGGCTGCCACCGCTTTGTGTCTCGTCTGCTTCACAAGACACAAGGCGAAGAGCGTCTTGATCCCAACTTTTAAGCCACGTGGATAAGATTGAAGATTTCTTAAAATATCAATTACGCCCTCGAAAATTTCGTCCACGTTGCTGATCTGAGAACGAAGCTCTTGAGATCTCATGCCAGCTAAGACAATTTCAATGAGTGAAGCTGAGTTGACTCGGACTTCAATCGACGGATGAAATAACAGATTCGATAAATACGTAACTTTATCGTTGTCTGATGCTATACAAATGCATTCCGACTCACAGAGCGGGAACATTACGAGTAGCGCCAGTGCCTCATGGTTCAACTCATTGGACGACTCGGAGTTGTAATTTGAGAAGAGAATATTCGTCAATATTTCGCGTACGTTGTGAGAGGAAATAAGGGAACGGTTCTTATCCGAGTCACGAGCGAGTCCTCTGAGTCGACGCAGAGCGGAGAGACGAGAGGCGAAAGCGTTGGAGTCGGAGGCGGCTTGGTTCAAAAGAGAACGAACCAAAGCGGGCTCGGCGGGCTGTTTGGGAGTGGGGATACGTTCGACACCGAAGGAGCGGTTGGCGACGCACCAGTCTTGAATAAGTCGACGAAGAGTGTGGTTTGGAATGAGAGTGAAGTCGGTGAGGGGGGCCCGGGTGACGGGGCAGGTGGTGTTACCGGTGGCGACCCATGACTCGATGCTGGGACGGTCGTAAGTCTGACCGGTGCAGACGGTGACGGGGTCCCGCATGAGCTCCAAGGAGATCGGACACCTGAAATGATAAGGAATCTGAATGGATAAATCCAACGGCTCTAAGCTTCCGGGCATGATGATTGATTGAGTGAGAGAGTATGAAAATTCTCTTTGGACTTTTTAGTTGGGAGGATTTTGTTTTGGTTTTGGTTCGGTTATGGTATTTCTCTTATATGGAACAGAAAGAACAGAGATAGGGGGAAGACATGGCAGGATGAGTTATGTAACTTATGTTATCTGAGACTGGGCCACACGTGTGGCATTTATAGCTTGGAACCTAACTATAGTTGGATGGGAATTTGGGAAGGTTTGGTCAAAATGAAAATTGCGGACTTTGTTGGGGTTGGGTTGGGTTGGGTTGGGGTTGGGACCCATGGTTTTGGTTTTGGTTTTATTGTGGACCAAAATCTAACTCCTGTTTACATCAACTAGTAAAGTAATTGTTTATTACTGTTCAGAGATTTGATTGCATTTGCGTATTATTCTTCAACTGTTTGCAATTCTGCCCCTCACCTTTCCCTTTTTTCTATTTTTCTAGGCCTTCTTTTTCAAATGGATTCCAAGTGAACGAGGAATGTCAGACTTAGGAATTTGAATATTTTAAACTAATTAAATAATATAACAATTTAGTTTTAGTGTCACTTTTACCGGTCTAGAAGGCAACAATAGTGAAAGCAACAAAAAATCATCTTTGGATGATCGAGCGATTCAATGAGAGATTTTTTTGTGTATTATTTAAGAGTTCTTGAATTCGAGTCTTTCATCTTTTGTTAATAAGGATAGTCATTAAAGTTCTTTTTTTATCGATAGTTTTAAAATCTTAAAAGATTAATTGAGGTATGCGTAAACTGATCTAAATATCTCCGATTATCAAATTAAAAAAAAAAAAAAAGTAAAAGCAGAAAAATACAATCATACATATTATAGCATGGTTGCTACCTTTACACTATGGGAAATGTCAAATCGGTTGCTTTAATTTGTTCATAAATTAAAAGACCAATCCAAAGTATATTTGCTTTTGTGTTTCCATCAAAAGTTTGACAAACCCTCTGCAAGCCTTTAAATACATGTAAAGTTGGTGTTTCCTATTTTATTACATTTACAAATTGTTGGGTGTTTGAAGAATAATATTGGAGAAAAAAGAGGGAGGAAATTGAAATAGAAGAAAGAGAGAGGAAGAAATTAATAATTAGGTTTGGGTGGTTGGTGAGTGGGTGACTAGATTAGATTAGATTGGATTGGAGGAGTCAAAGGTCAAAGATGAACAGAGGAATGTGCGGGTCCAGGTTGTCTTTCCACCTCTCTATTCGAGAAAAAAGCTTTCGTCCTGGATAACAAACTTCAATATTGGCTTGGCATTGGCTTGGCCCCACTCTTAAGTGGACGATGTTTGATTAAGTGGACCCCCCCTTTTTTAAACAATATTCCATACTATCTTTTACTCTTATTGCACACTATCATCCCTATCTCACACCTCTACTGAATACAGTCAATCAATACAAACCATAAATAAAATCTCTTTTTTACCCTGTTTTTTTCCCTATTTTTATATTTAATGCATGAATCAAATAGCATGAAAGCAAAAGATTTATTTAACTTTTTCTTTTTGAGTGATAGGGAGTTGTCCAAGTTAACTTATGCGCACCTCAATTAATCATCTAGGACTTTGAAGATAGTCGGATAAATCCCTTTAATGGTTAACTCTGTCCCTTTAGTGGTCAACTCTATTAACAATTGAGGTGAATCAAACTTAGGACTTCTTGAGTAATACACTCAAGAGTCTTAGTTGACCATTTGACCACCTGGATTGCTAAAAATTAAGATTATTTTATTAATCGTGTACCGAATTTATGAGGTTGTTTATTCTTATATATTTTTTAATGAAATTATACTAAATTTTTCTCTATTATTTGTTAATATAAACGTATCAAACCACATAATTATTGTCTTTTTGTGTGTGATTTATGTTCATATGTTATATATTTATCTCCATAAATATGTTTTTTTGCTAAGCAATCAAAATATGTATAAAAATAGAATGTTATTAGCATTAGTATAGTTAGAATAATTAAAAAGGAAACTAATTAATATTGGGTATAAATGCATGGAAAAGAAAACCAAGTAGTACATTGCCTTCCTTTTACTTGACAAAAACAAGAGTGAGGCGCAGAGGAAGAGGCAGAAGCAGTCAGAGACTGAAACGGAGAACAAAAACATGTCAAATTGCTAGAAAGTTAAAAAAGAATGAAACAGTACTACACACAAGGCAAATGAGAGGAAGGAGGCTGGAGGCCGAGTGACCGAGTGAGTAAGTTGTGTCGTTTAGCGGCGGAAACACACGCGTGGAGAGACAGAGCGGCCCAGCAGCCACGCTTTCATTGTGACTCTCCTGTCGCCGGTCAACCCGACACCATTTTGCCGCTACAGCTTACACATAAATTCGTTTCCCCCGATGCACGTGACACTCCCACGTGTCTTACAGCTAATTAACCTTTGTCTTTTCTTTTCACTCTCCCAAGTACGGAATTCCCTCCCCTTCCAACATTATCCCCTCATTGGTTTAATTGTCACTTATTTTTTATATTAATTTCCATTTCTATTTCTGTGCTCTTCCTTCAAGATTTTACATTTTTAATTCCTTTCTTAGAGTTTTAAAACGTGTTTATGTTTTGTTTAGCCCCCCGCTTTCTAATCCTGTAACTCTGCTGTGTTTTATATTTTATTATTTTGAAGATGACCCAATAATTAAAGCCAATGAATTTGCATATATTATTTCTTTGTCAATATTTGTATCTTTCTGGTCACAAAAAGCTGCTTCAAAGCTTAGATTGACATTAATAAGGTGACAACTCTGCAAAATATGATACCTTTTGCATACATTTGGCCAATCACCCTCTTCTTCAATGTAGATTCCCACCCAAAAAAACCTCGCTTAGTTGGGATTTTTTTCCCGAATTTCAGTAAAAATATTCCAAACATTTTTTTTTTTAAAATGACCAGGCTATCCGAACTAGATTACGCGTATATCCATTAATTTTTTAGGATTTTAAAACTATCGATTGGATAAAAGTTCTAATGACTATCCCTATTAGCATCCGAAGAGGAATTCGAATTCATGATCTCTTGAGTAATACATTCAAGAGTTTTTATCGAACCGCTCAATCACCCAAAAATCTCACCTAAAAAACCTCAGGCAATTGGGATTTTTTTAGAAATTTCGATAAAATTATACTATTCCAACAATTTTTTATAACCAAGAGTGTCAAATCAGTTTACGGTACCACTAATCCTCTGAGACTTAAAACTACTCGATCAGATAAGAATTTCACTTACCTCCCTATTAACATCCGAAAAAAGATTTGAGTTAAAAACTTCTTGAAAGTACGCTACAAAATCCTTATCAAACATTTTGATCACCCAAATAGTTATATTCGAACAATTAAAGATGCCTACAAAGTTTTATAATATAAAGGGAGAACGACTTAACATACCCAAGATTTTTCGTAACGACAAGTTGGTACCCAAAAGGTTTTGAAATGACAAATAGTACTTTCCGTCATGTTCTTTTAGTGATTTCTGTTTATTACTGTTTTTAATGGTGAAAAGACTAAAATACCTTCAAAGTTTGAATTTTAGTTTTATAATTTAAAAATTTCAAAAAACCCCCTAAGTTTACAAATTTCACTAAATACCCCAATATATAAAGTTTTATAAAATAACAAAACACCCCCCACCGGCAAGTGCCAGATTCCGGCCACCACCGCCGGAATCTGGCCGGAAAGTTACGTTACGACACAGACCCTCGGATCTGTGTCGTAACGCGTCGATCTGGCCTTTTCCGCCAGATCCGTGGCTGATCTGGCCGGAAAAGGCAGATCTACGGCTAGATCTGGCCGTCGACGCCGCAAAACTCCATCTGCGGCGTCGACGGCCAGATCTGGCAGTAGATCTGGCCTTTTCCGGCCAGATCAGCCACGATCTGGCCGAAAGGCCAATCTGGCTGCTGCTTCGACGGCCAGATCTGGCCTTTTCCGGCCAGATCCGTGGCGGGGTAATCTGGCCTGAAAAGGCCACATCGGCAGTTTACGACACAGATCCGATGGGGATCTGTGTCGTAATCCAGTTTTCCGGCCAGATTCCGGCAATGGTGGCCGGAATCTGGCATTGGGGTGGTGGGGGTGTTTTTGTCATTTAACAAACTTTTTATATATGGGGGTGTTTAATTAAATTAGCAAACCTAGGGGGCTTTTTAGAAATTTTTAAATTTATAAAAAACAAAAATTGAAACTTTGAAGGGCATTTTAGTCTTTTCACTATTAATAAACAAAAATCACTAACAGAATATGACGGAAGGTACTTATTTGTCGTTTCAAAACCTTTTGGGTACCGACTTGTCATTACAGTAAACTTTGGGTATGTACAAGTCGTTCGCCCTAATATAAAAATCCAATAGCTGATAAGCTCAAAGCTAGTGAAGGAAACAGAATAGTTGCTTTTTTGTGTTGTCTTTTATTCTTGATTGGATTTATTTTTATAGTGTTGTCATCGTCATGCAATCACGTATGGTATGAATGATCTTATTTAATTTTATGAAAATTTTATAATATATTAATTAATTAATTGTCACGTCTAGAATCTAAATCAAAGAATTTCATTCTTGGTTCCACTTATATTTTTTGCTTTTTAGTTTCAACGCCTTTAACTATTTAATTTCATAATTGCTGCCAATCCTCAACCCTTTACATTTTCTCGCTTCTCTTTTTAAAAATTCTATTGTTGTTGTTTTAAAAATATTTTAGAATATAAGTGAGAAAAGTTTGTAGGATGCCCAATACCACATTATTAATTGCCAAAATTTCCAATCCAAACCATTCTTACCTGTCATTTAAGTGGTATAGATGGGAAGAACAGAGTAAACAGCCTTTTCCTATCCAAGGTTTTCTTTAATGACATTTTCCCACCTAAAAAATTTTAAAATACGACTTTTCCATCTAATGTTTATATTCTGTTAATACCTGAAATACACTTCACTTTCTTAGTTGGCGTTCGATAAGTTACCAGGAGCCAAGGTAAGAGAGTTTTTGTAGAGTGGAGGGTGGTGGATCGAATCGTGATTACAGATTAAATATTCGCCGTCGAAATTAGTTAAGAATCAACTAAGAACTGAAAACCATAGCTCTGCGGTGGTCAACAATTGGCGAGAATTCAAGTGCCAGAATGAGAAGAGTTTTGTAGAGAGAATATCGGAGCTTTAAATGATGGTGACAGAGAGAATTTTTCCTTATTAGAACTGACTTCGGGTAGTAACAGAATAGTAACTTTGGGTGAAAAAGAGGTATTTTGAAACTTTTTTGGGGGAACAAAGTGGTTTACTCGGAAGAATATAAAGTTAAGCAAAATTAGATTGTATTAAAAGCATTTAATATAAAAATAGTGTTGATAGGTACATATTAATTAGAGAAGAAAAAGTGGGAAAATGATATTCAGTATTAAAAAGTTTGATTTGTTGGGTTAAAGGCTGCTTTATAAATGTTTTAATATTTAATATGGGGAATGGACCTCCAGCCACATTAATCAATCTCACCCCATGAGATTATTTGGCATATCTATCTTTATTATATAATTCAAAGAATCTTTGTTTTTAAACTAAACCAAACTTTTACTAATCAACTACCTAATATTCATATTCATATTACATTAATATATCCTATTTAAAAAACAAAAAGTTATTTTGATTTTAATATAATATTTAACATTGTATAGTGGGTGAGTTGTTCTATTTTATAAAGCCTTAACTTTTAAAGGTTAAAATAAGGTTAATTTTGTTGGTGAGAGGTTTCGTGTATCCTATACTTTTTAAAAGAAATTGGAATAGAACCTGAAACATGTTCCACTTCCAAGTACCTAAGTTAATTTTATTACCCCCATAATTTTTTAAAAATAACAAATACACCCCAAAAAATTACAAATTACACGTCCAATAGTTTATAAAAAATTCAGTCCCAATTCCTACTCATATGCCCGGACCTCGGTTCCAATTTCAGTTCCCAGTTCCAACACTGCAAAAACTAGAACCGCTTGATTACAATTTTTCAAAATTGGAATTAGTTCCAGTTCTACTCTTTATCCATGATCATCCTTAATTAATTCTATTCATCACCCAAAACAAAAGTCAAGTCTCAAGCGTCTTAACGATTTTCAAAAAAAAATCTATACTTTCCAAAATTTAGTAAAAGCCCTTAGAAAATATGACAAAATTTTTAAGAGAATATGACAAAACCCTCTTGAACAGAAGAATTTTATTAATACTTTCTAAAAATCGTTGTGATGCTTAAGACTTATCGTGAATGAAATTTACCAGTTAAAAGAAAAAAAAAAAAAAAAAAATGAGAGAATAAGGTAGAGAAGCAATAGAGTGTAAAGGAGGAAATTCTAGTTGGCCAAAGATATAAATCTTTGAAAAGCGGTCCAATAATCAAATAATTGAATAAACTTTACACGTGGGATCAATAATTGGAGAACACGTGTCCAGATGAATAGTGTTGCTGATGTGGTCCATTTATGTATTGATATGTGTAGAAGAGTTGGCCACGTAGATGTGTTGTTGGATGGAAGCTAAAAGAAAAAGAAAGATTGCGTTTTGATATCCATTTTTCGAACACAAAAGAAGATCTGATATTCTACTACGGTGGAGATGAGGATCATCATAATTGATGGACATGAATATGATGAAATGCAATTAACGTGGCTTGTGATTCAAGCAGTCAAAGATATTGATGGATGATGGGCATGAGCTAATAATTAATTAAATAAAAGAGAAAGGTAGCTTTCAAAAATGGCGACTGTGAAGTGAAGTGAAGTGTAAGTGGAAATAATTGGTCAAAGGGCGTAATGAAGAAAGTCATTATCGGAAATTAAGAGTGTGCGCATATTAAGCGGACTCGAATTATACTTGCCATTAATCATGGACCAAATTTTACGGTGTTCTCCGTTTCATCATCCACTTTCAGATTTGTCTTTTAATAGGGCGTTCATTTTTCATCCACATATTAAAAAAAATTATATCTAAAACAGAATCATCACACGAGTTGCATAGCAACTTATAAGAGTAATGTTTTACTATTAAGCATAGTTCTAAAAATTAGACCGGACCGACTGGTTCAATTGAGAACCGTCAACCTCTCCATTTCGGTTCAGATTTTAGGAGGGTTTCTACTAGATTTCAAATTTATAAGGATTAATATGTAATTTATGAGGTTTTTTTTTAATATTTCAAAACTTTAGGGATTAATAGAATTTTTTGGGGCATTTTACAATACCTTAAATTTTAGGGTATTTTTGCAATATGTTCAAATTTCAAGAACTAATTTCAATTGTTTAAAAACATTTTTGTTGATGACGTGACGTCACTAGTCTGACCTGCTGGTCTGATCGGTCTGATTGATCAACCTGGGAACTTGGCCCTTGATTGGGTCAAGGCCTGGTCTGGTTTTCAGAACCTTGCTATTAAGTCTTCAATCAAGGCGATTTGTCAGGACACATAACATACGACTAGAGGGTTTACTTCTCAGACAAGACTACCCATGCAAAACTATAAATAGGGGTTTCCCACCCTAAACTAGGCATCCAAATTTTCTTTTCTAAATAGCTATAGAGCAGATATCTTATCTCTCCTTAGGACAAATGTCTTTTGTAAGCAAATCAATAAGATAACAGTGAACATAAGATTTGTACTTTGTATGTGAATCACTTTAAAAACTGCTCTTACCTTTTATTTTATTTATTTTCACATATTATTTTCATTATCATTTACGAGTCTAGCATCATATTTCATAGTCTCATGCAGATCCATTATACGAGCACCCCAAGAAGACTGTTGTACTTCTCATCGGTGTGAAATATTGCACCAACAATAATAGAGGAAAATCAAATATAAAAGAGTTATTTATGGAAATGATCAATAATTTAATAAAATTTGATAACGTACAAAGTGAATAATTATGTACGCTATAAACATGTTATTCAAAGTCTCTCCCAGTAATCTTTCGGCAACATTATCGGAATTTAATAGGATAAATACACTCAAAATATATTATGAGTGGAAGCAGCACTTTGGACTCTAAAGGGATTTATTAATTGTTAATATAATAATTTAAAAAAAATTAAATTAAATTTTCCATAAGAAAGATGTTTAAATTATGTCACCATTTTACATTAAAATTTGTTATTATTCCCTACCCATATGACAAACTTTGGTAGATTCCCCCTACCAACCTACAAGTCGTATATTCCATGAATTGGATTAAAAAAATGGAGCAAATTGTATGGATAAAAGCAGTAAGTCAGAATGGATTTAACCAATCTACTGTCCATGTTAATGGTATCATTAACCTAGAATTGCTAAAAATTAATCAGTTTTAAGGTTTCTTGAGCTGTGCACAAACCGACTGACTCACCCATTGACTGCATTATGTTAATGTAATGTTTTTTTAAAGCAAAGTGACCTTGATTCATGCACAAGTACCCTCCATCTCTTCTCTGCAAAGAATGTGCCACCTCAAGCTCATCAACAACAAACCAAAAAAACAAAAGATTGAGTAGTTTTGCACATGGCTAATGTTCTTATAAATGGGCTTTTCATTCTTTTCAAACTTGTGGAAGTGGTGCCATATCTTCGTGACAAAGCTTCAAACAACTCCGTATAGAAAATTTGGTGAAAATAATTATCACTAGATGGTAAAAGAGCAAAAAGAAGTTCCAATATCCTGAGTTTAAGTCCCCCCAATACTAACAAGAGAGGTGGTTTTTGGGACTCTTATTTGGTGTCAATTCTAGGGCCTCGAATGATTAGTTGAGATGCGAACAAACTGGCTCAAACACTCCGGGTGATTAAAAAAAAATCGGGTGAAAATTCAATCTAGAGATAACTCAACTGATAAGTGATATTTTCAACTTATACTATCGCAATGGTCCCCATATGAAGTGAGTGTGTTGACAACTAAAGGAGTTCTATGATTTTTTGGGTATAGGTTTTGGCAGGCTAAACAATTCCATCTAAGTTCGTTTAACATTGAATTATGATAATATACAAAGTATGGCTAATTTGACTTTTGTTCTGCACGCTAAATTGTTGCAATTTGCATAGACATATAGATATGTATATTAAGTTGTTTGTGTCACCATGACTAGGAATTCCAATAGCATGCTTGCACAGATAATACCACTTAAAAAGCCTTGATTTTTTTTTTTTTTTTTTTCAATTGTGGCAAAGTGAATGGTGGCAACATGCAGCCACCACACACCACTGAAAGTTGATCTGCATATCTACTTATTGGAATTCCATCATGAAGAACATATTTCAAAGAAAAATCCAGAATCAGCAGCCAGATTAGACCAAGAAATACGAGCAACTTTAATCACTACACTGACATGATGTACATCATACTATCTGAATACGCCATTTTTTTGTTATAAATACTAAAACAACAGAGGTTATAAAATATAAGTTCACAACTACAAAAGAATTGTCACTAAGGCTACTAAAACCAACCACCACAATTGAACTGATCTTCTATTTAAATATCTGAAGTTGGATTCATTTGCTGCTGCTGCTGCTCCAGATGCAGGGGTGACACTAACTTCAGGCAAGTCACATACCCCGAAAGTCATATTCGCCTGCATAATAATAATCAGATAACCAGCTGTTAATCAAACGTTCACTAAAATATCCGGCCATATGAATCTCCTCATTTGTTACAAACCTTGCAATTGGCGACATTTCCACAACCACAAATGAGATGGCCATTAACCTCATCGACAGCTTCTGGGGTACCCCCGCCATCACTCCTCTGAAAATTTCACACACATAAGTTTTACTTTCGTAATTGGACACCATTTCATTGTATTACATGCTTTAGCTGGTGAGATATTCACATACAATTCATACCTTGTAAAAGTCAACAGCAATGAAATTAGGCCATCGCTTGCCTGCAGCTTCATAACATGTGTTTAGCATGCTCATCAATGGAGCTGAATTATACTTGCAAGCTTGGGCAAAGTCAGGCCTATCGGGAAAGTAATTCACTAGGACTAATGACCTTAATTGTGTGTTCATGGGAGGTGATTCTGCCCGGTTTGGACATGAACCAGCCACCATCCCACCATTCCCATCTGCAGTATCAACGCCAATCATGATCACTTAATTACATTTTTCATACATTCCTTTTTCAGTTCAATGGAAGTTATAAATTAAGAATATATAACAATAGTATTCAATACTCACATTGGTTTTCTACCATGTAGCTCCATTGATAAGCAATCCCTTCTGAAGCCTCTTTAGCAGACTTGGAAGTAAAAACTACTAAACGCTGATTGTTTCGAATCATATCATCAACCGTTGGCCAATCTCCTCCATTTTTTGGCATTCGAGTGACTGGAAACCAGTATTTCGCGAGGCCAGCAGCAACAAATACATTAGTAAGTCCATTTGGTGATGTAACATAGTCCTCAATGATAATAGTGACAATCTCTGCGGGATTCGCTTCGAGAAATTTTTGCACCTCTTTCAAAACATTTATAGCCGGTTGCTGAAAAATAAAACAACAGATTAACTAGCTGTTTAGAGAACATAAGCAACAGACAACTAAATGACATCCTGGAACTAAAGTTCTTGAGAAACAATGTTTTAGAAGACTTGGAAAATGGAAAATAAGTCATTTATTACGATTCAAAATTGTGGAATTTTAGGATTTAGAAGATGGTTTAAGTTTCAAACTACAAAATGAAATGATGTCTCCATTAATAGAGGTAATTTCCCAGCACTGTTTGTCTACTTACAAAAGCTGAATTGTCGTAGCATTGGCCTCCAAAGGAATGACACAACCAGATGTCATTTTTGTAGTCATACATATCCAGCATTAAACCTCTAACACCATTCTGCAAGGAAAGGCTAAACCATTAGAGATATTATCAATGGTTAACATCCATTTACAATTGCGAAATAGACCAGTTCTATTTACAGGCATAAAAACACCAAAATTAAGTAGCCATCTAATAAAGTCTTAAACATATTTGTCACAATGTGTCCATTATCGATCATTTTGGTCGTTTGATCATTAAAAAAAAAAAAAAAAAAAATTCATATAGCATGCGATCTAATTGGTCATTATCAAGTGGATAATGGATGATTGAGTTCAATTATCGGGAAAGCATCAGAAGAATGCGAAATGACATCAATTATATAAACTAGTGTAAATGGAAGACATGTGAATGGAAGTCTGCTAAACAAAACATGTTGGAAATACTTTTCAGTCAAGAATCAAGATTAATTATTTAGCTAAAGAAGAATCACATGTGATTCACATTGACAATTTTCTTTTTCTTTAAAAAAGAAAACTTCTCACATGATCTGTTCAGCATTCAACCTCTAAGGTCACATCATTTCTCAACTTTTGCTTTCCCCTTTCACAAAGTTCATACTTATCCTTTCCAATTTGAAAATTGTGTGTAGATCAAAGATATAATGATCAAAGTCAAAATACATCTAATGACATAATTGATCAACAAATAGTAGGTGAAAAGTCATTCGAAATCTCATCCCAAAAAAATGCGATACCAACTATATGTTTGAACAAAACAACAATGGCCACCGCCAAACCGCCTCAAAAACCTGAAGTCTTTACTGGAAAGTGAAGCAGAAAGAAGAGAAACAAACATACATTGAGCTGGCTGGTTATGGAGTCCTGCTGATTAGTTGGAGCAAGAATCACAGACCCAGTTGCAGACTTCACTCCGAGTCTCGCAAACGAGTTGTGAGTCGTCAGCCATGAGTACCGATTAAATGGCAATCCCTTCACCTGATCACACCATCAACACATAATTAAGTACATGTATATATCCATACATATGCATGCTTAATATAAATAAATTAAACAATAAAACTTGAACTTGATGGACCTGTGAGGTGGGATTGAGAGGCTGCATTCGCGTGCATCTCGGCCGCACATTCCCATCAGCAACACAGGTTTCACAGTGTAAACCCGAGTCGCAGTTTTTATTAACTACGCATATCTGTCCCTCCTGCTTGTTTGTCGTCCCACAATTAACCACAACCAACAACAGATATAATAAACAAAAGAAGAATTTGACAAAATTAATATGGAAAAAGTTTGAGTAGTACCTTAAGAGAAAAGGAAAGACTGAAGAGAAGAGTTGCAATGACAGCAAAGATGAACTTCTGCAAGTGAATTTTATAGTGTCACTTTAAGTATATTCAATTAATATTAATGACAATATACAAGAAAGAGAAGGTTGATGACTTGCCTGCATTGAAAAATTTGATGTGGGTGTTATTGAGAGAGAAAGAGCATAGCTGAAAGAGAGTCACGAACAAGTAGAAGTGGAAAGTATGGAGCACTAAATAGTTCCATTATTTATGGTAACAGCAAATCCTACTATTAAGCCTACATTTGATCGATTATCTATGTAAATAATTATCCTTTAATTAAAAATAATTATGTTTATAGTATGTGAAGGAGAGACTTAAACCCTAGCAATGATTAAAACTAATTTATGTGTTAAAAAAATGAATTACGTTTGTGGGATGAACTATCCTCTGCTTTCTGGGTTGAAGTTCCATAATATATGAATAGAAAATGAGAAAAACGTTTTCTTCAGGATACTTCACTCCATTAATGTTGCTTTTACAAAACAATTTCATTTTCCTAACCTTCTGGGTATACTTTGCTTTTGAAAAACAAAAGTTTGTTGGTGTATTTGTCTTTGAAGCACAGTCATCGATAAATGTCTATAATGTGCAAGTTTCAGCCTTGAAAACATGCTTTGCTTTACATGAATTTCATGTACAATATCAGCTAACGCCCCCATTTATTTTTTCAGGGTCAACCTTTGATACCTTGGAACTATTTTTTTTTATGACTAGGGGTCCTCTAGGACTTTGGAACTATCGACCGGATAAAAGATCTAGTAACTACTCCTATTAACACCTGATAAAAGACTCGAACTTAAGACCTCTTGAATAATACACTCAAGAGTCTCCATCGAACCACTCAGTTCTATTCTTTTAAGAAACATATATACCCAAAAAAGAAAAAGAAAAAGAGTTGCTTACCAATGTAAATCACCCACATGCTAGATGAAGAAGTTGTTTGAGACAATTGAATTTGATATTGGACATTACTTGAAAGCAATACTAATTGAGACTGCAAAAGTTTTGGATAAGCGTCAATTAATCCTCCTTCAACAACAAATATGATTTGTAGTAAACATTATACACGAATAAATGACTTTTTCCCACCCAAGGTTTGCCTTAATAACACTTTCCCACCCAAAATTTTTCAAAATACCCCTTTCCCACTCAATGTTTATATTTTGTTAATACCCTCTACTCTAAAAAAACCCTTTTACCATGACTCCTGATAACTCATCGAACGCCGCTAAAATAAGTCGAAAATCAACTAAGAATAAGAAACAATAGCTTTATGGTGGCCGACAATCGAAGAGAAATTAGGTATCGGATCAAGAGAGGTTTTATAGAGAAGAGACTGAATTGTCAAATAGTGGTGATAGAGAAAATTTTTTGCTGCCGGAGTCGGTCGAAATTAGCTTTGGGTAGTAACAAAGTATTAACTTTGGGTATTAAAGTGGTATTTTAAAATTTTTTTGGTGGGAAAAAGTCGTTTACTCAATTATACACACACTAATCAATCATAAATAAATTACATGAGTTTTAAGTAATTTAATTACGGATAAAATTTATATATACATATATTAATTAAGGATAAAACTGAAATATATAAAATATTTAATAATTTGGGTTTTAAATTTAATTAACCACATATTCGAAATGTAGAGGCACATGTAATTGAAGTACTTCTTTCAGAGAGATATTGGGCAATATCACTCTACTCAAACGATTAGCAATATTATGGGTTTATTAAACATTTACACATCTACAGTGGGTGGGCTGATATTTTACATTACAATACGACATTTGTTCATCTTATGGATGGCCGTCGTTTTCATGATAACTAACGTGCCGTTCAAGAAATAAATTCAAAAAGTTATTCATGATAAATATCACTTAAGTCCACCCATATTCACAAATACAGGCGGTTATATGATAGTTTGTAAACCTCGGGTTAGTTTTACTATACTCAAGATTGAGAATAAAGTAATGCTACATTTACATCACTCTTTTACACTATTTTTATTACATCATGATGTGGCATATACCACAACCACACAAATTCTATTATAATATTAAAAATTTTAAATAATTAAAAATTTGTGTGGTTGTGACATATATCACATCATGATGTAATGAAAATGATGTAAAAAAGTAGTGTAAATATAGGATTACTCTTGAGGATATTAGTAAAATGCACCAATTTTATGGATCTTCATGGACCTATGTGATATTTTTACCTAGGATTTTTTAATTTTTTATCCTTCATGAAATGGGATGTAGGGATAGCAACGGGGCAGGATGGGGCTAGGTATTCCATTCCCTGTCCCCGTCTCTGCCCCCGAATCTATTCCCTGTGCTCTCCCCATCCCGACTCTACACTACGGGGAAAAATCCCCTCATTCCTTGTCCACCAAAACCTATACCAAAACCATAAACACTACATTTTTAAACCCATGCCAATTGCACATAGGATTTTCAATACAGAAAAAAGGCTTAAAACAAGATTCGAGAAGTGGAAAAGCTGAAGAATGAACTGAAGACGACAAATTCGAAAATTCAAACAAACAGCAGAGATCTGGTGACGAAGGAGAACCGTGAACTGGAGAGCTAAGATCTGGAGAATCGGAGGACAAAGAGGCGACATCTCGACGATGTTGGTCGGTAGCAGTGGCTGATTTGGCGAGATAGGAAATTGAGCAATGATTTGGTGGTGAGAGGCGATATTTTGTTTATATAGCAAGGGTAAATATGTAATTATTTTAATGTTTAAGGGTATTATTGGAAAACTAAAGTGGGGTGGGCGTATAGCTATCCCCGTCCTTGCCTTGTTCCCTGCAAAATCGAGGCAGGAAAATGCATGTCAACCTCTAATGAATATTTAATTACACCCCTATGGTTCAAAAAATACATAAAAGGCCAATATTATGGATCTTCAGACCTATGTAATATTTATCCTTTAATTTTGTAACTTTTTTTTATCCTTGATGAAAATCATATTCAAATTTATATCTTATTACCTTCTTAAACTTTATCATAATAACAAAATATATGAATATTGACTCATATCTTCTATTCTTACATGCTCTGCATAATTTGAAGAATATTTACAGCAATTACTTGCATTCCCCACATTCGAGAACCGAGCTTAGAAAACTTCCATAAGTTCCATCCCATTCCATTGAAAAAACTTTCTATTTTGGAAGAGAAGCACTGGTGGAAAGAGTTTCAGTGAGAGGATCAATGTGACTATATTTTCCTAAGCATGCAATAATGTTCTTGTTGATAGGTGATTTTGACACCAACTAATCGACACGTGCGTAACGTTGATTGGTCAAGAGACACACGTGATTATGGATGAAATGTAGTGTAAATGCAACAATGAGAGCTTTTTAAAGTGGTTCGGATGCTAAGGTAGCAAATCCTACGTCCACTGATAGTTTGTGTTAGAATTGTGGGTTAGGTCGCAACAGCGAACTAACTTACAAAAAATTCGGGAAAAGTAAATACAAAAGTATAATGATCAGAGAGAGAGAAAGCTAGTTCAGAGTGCAAGAAGGCCGAATCCTTTTAATAAAAAGATCCTTCCTTTTTATAGTGAGATGAGTGCAGATAATCATCATTAAATCTGTGGGTTGGTGCGAATGTCATGACTAAATCTGGCTTTACGTCCCATTGCCCACCTTCCAAGCTGATTTTACGCGATTTGGAGTAGGGAAATGGACACGTGGGAGCTCCACAGCGCCTTGCATGCCTGACGTGTGCTTATCGTTCTGACGGGAGCATGTCACCCGCATCACGTGATTTCCCACGTCAGCCCTTGATTTCCCAGGCATAACAGAAGTCCCATAGTTTTTAAGGTTTGAGGGTCAAACCTTGGAAACTAAGTCATGCCGCGAGTGGTGGCCCTGACCATTCCGACCTGAATGAAAGAAGCTCGGGATATGACCTTTTGCGAACATGACTTCGCGCAAACCTCGTCCGAACGACCTGATAGTCGTTGCCCAAGCGTCCTGNGAAACAAGCTTCATCGTGCGTTGTCCTACTCCGGAACTCTCCTATCTTCTAAAATCCTTCAATTCTGAGTCAAAACTATCAAATTTTGTCTTTATTCGCTCAAAGAGTCCATTTTAACCTGAAACACGAAAAGTAAAGAATTAAGCACCAATTCAGGTAAAAATGCACTAGAAAGTACCTGCAATCCGACAAAAAGATCATATAAAAACTGTATAATTTACGGATTATCAACAACCGTCATCACAACAATAAATGCGGCGCGGGGCGCATTTAATGCGGAGAGAGAGAAACGTCGTTTCGATTTTGAGGGGCGGTTAACGCCAGTTTGTGGCCTATATAAAAGCCCAGATTTTCCAGATGAGGCCGCCAGAATCCCATCTGTCTCGAACGAAAACTCCCTGCAAGCCGGAAGCCTTTCTTTCCCGATACCTGAAGCAAAAACCGTTCACGGTCACGTCCCCCAAAAGGTAAGGGTTTTTGCTCCCTCTTTTTTTTTTATTAGCTGGCGGTACAATGGCGTTGCGTTATCTGATGTTTCATCAGAGGCGCGATGATGGAGTCGGGTTCTTGCCATGAATGGCGACTGGAGTCACTGTTAGGTTTTAGGGAATTCGCCCCAAGCCGCCGTATGGGGCGATGTACGATGGCTAAAATGACTTGTCTGTCGGTGCTACAGAATGTGGAATGGAACCCTCAACGTCCAGATCCGAAGAAGGAGTTGGTTCGTCTTCGCGGGATGATCCCGTGGATGAATCCCTCGAGGTTTTCTCGGTTCTCACCCGAGAAGAATTCGATAGGATAAAGAAACAGTTCGGCGTCTGCGTAGAGGTGTTTCTCGACGCCACCCGGTCATCGCGGCATCCTTCCGATGGCTTGGCTGCGATCTCCAAAGAGATCTTCAAGGGTGGGGGGTTGATTCCTCTCCACCCTTTTATTAGGTCGGTCCTGGATCACTTCGGGATCACACCAATGCAATTAACGCCAAACGCGTATGTCATCGCTGTTGCGATGTACATCGCCTGCCTTAAGAGCGGCTTGGGCGAGTTAACAGCGGTAGAGCTCGGCTGTTCGTATTACCTAAAAAGGAGCAAGGACAAAGACTCCTATTATTTGTCTCGACGATCTACCATCACCGAAGGGATACATAGCTATCCCAACAACGCGAGGGCCTATGAGACGAAGTTCTTCTTCTTCTGCTATGACGGCTACTGCCACTTTCAGAAACCAAGTAGGTCCCTCTTCGCTAAATTCATTAACTGTGTGAACGCTTTTTCTAACGACCTGCATTCTTTTGTAGTTAACAAGACAACCAGCCTGGACTTGCTCACTGACCCAGATAGGATCGTGT